TAATGTTCGAATTAGTCCAGCCTCAAAAATTATGGATTGCTTTGACAGATGCAGGCATCGACAGAACTGACATCCATGCTGTGAAAGCGTTATACAGAGCTGATAACGCGGCAGAGGTTGAGATAGGAAAACACAACTGATGCATTCTGTCCTCCGTCAGGCGTCAAACAGGGATGCTACCTCTCACACAATATTCAAGATCTATATCCAGTCAATAATAAAACATTGGAAAAGGAAATGCAACCGATAGGAATATGAGGTATATGCTAAATAAAATAGAAGAAGAATACAATAAATGGTGTTAGAAATGAACAGAGATAATACCCAATATATTATGGTAATTGGAGGAACGAGAAAGGAGATACAATACGAAGACGGAAAGGACAATAAAGATGTAATGAGGAAAATTTGCAGAGGAAAAGAAAGCGATAAAGACAATGCATTCGATTCCGTGGTATAATAACATTAATAACCTAACGATACTAACAAAGAAAAATATTTTTAGGGCCATTATAGAACCATTAATGACGTATGGGTCAGAAGTGTAGGTGAGAGACAAAGACTCAACTCGAAGAGTGCTAGCAACAGAGATGATGTTTTGGAGAAGATGCTGCGGCATAACGATGCAGGACCGAGTTGAAAATGAGGAAATAAGAAGAAGAATGACGGCACAAAACTCCATAATAGACATTACAAATGAAAAGCAACTAAAATGGTATGAACATCTACGCCGAATGATTAAACAGAGAATCCCACTTAAGGTTTGGAACTGGGTGCCAGCAGAAGAAACAGAAGAAACAAAAGAGGTAGGCCTAGGAAAAAATGAATAAAGGATATCAATGTGGAGATGAAGAGGATAGGACTTTGTGAAGATGATTGGAATGATTTTGGTGTGATGAATTATGAATGCAAAATTTGTGAGGACTATGTTGAGTTAAATATGAAACAAACTAATCATTCCATGTATTTTGGAAAACGTCTGTGAGCTATTACCTTGATGTATATCTTGGGCATAAACACATATTATGTACAGAAGCCAAATACTATACGCATAAGCAAAATATACTGAAAACCATAATAATGATATGTGCAGAAACAAATCACAATGCGTAAAAGCAAAATGTTATGAACATAAACAATATGGTATGTAAGTTCAAATTCATGTTATTTAACACGTCTCTATTAGTTGACTAATTCTAGAGTTAAGACGTTGTTTAGTTGGCTTTTATGGGAAAGGTTGCATGAAGAGCAATTTATCTTAATATATAACATCAGCAATGTTGATTAATACTGTAAAATAATTAAGATTTAAAGAAATACCAACTCATATTGCAAAAAACCCCAGTCTAAAATTGAGAACCAAGAATCTGTCATTGTGCAATAACAAAATTTAGTTGAAAATAAATTTAATTTAGAAAAAAAGCCGTTCCTAATCATTAAAAACTAATCTGGTATGATTATTTTAAATTTGATATTTTTCCTTTATACCTATATACATAAATTATATAGAAACATTATTTGTATGGATAATTAAAATAAAACTATAAAGTGGTATATATTATATCGTTTTAAAGAGGATACCTTTAGCTTTAATTTAATACAAAAACTAGTTCTTAATCATTAAAAACAAATTTGATGTGATTGTCTAAAGTTTGATATTTCTCCTTAATAAATTAGATTAAAATCAAAATTGCAACTCTTTAAAAAAAAAATCATTTTGGAGGATAATTATAATAAAACGGTAAATATATCGTTTTAAAGAAGATAGTTTTAGCTTTAATTTGGCACAAAAACTAGTTCTTAATCGTTAAAAACAAATCTGATGTGATTGTTTAAAGTTTGACATTTCTCATTAATAGATTAGATTAAAATCAACATTGCAACTCTTTCAAAAAAAAATTATTTTTGAGGATAATTATAATAAAACGGTAAATATATCGTTTTAAAGAAGATAGTTTTAGCTTTAATTTGGCACAAAAACTAGTTCTTAATCGTTAAAAAGAAATCTGATATAATTGTTTAAAGTTTGACATTTCTCCTTAATAGATTAGTTTGTAATAAAAATTGCAACTCTTTCGAAAAACATTATTTTCTTTGATAATTATAATAAAACACTAAAGTGGTGTCTTTCAATTTTAAGAAGATACTTTTAGCCTTAATTTAAAATAAAAGCTATTTTTCTACAAACAAAACTCCACCAAGGGAGATTTGTTAAAATACATAATTTATTTTTTAGCTTTACACAGAATTAATTTTTAAAAATACGTACTTCATTTCTAATCTTTTTCAATTAAAATTTTGCAATTTTTTAAAGATTTTTATTTCAGATTTACACTGTTTATATTTTTAAATAAATAATATTTACATAAAATAATATAACTTTATGATCATCATTATGTGGACCACGTTAACAAAAAATTAATAAGAAAATACATATATTATATTGAAATGCATCTTACAGAAACTGAGCTTGTCTGGCTTTGTGTTTAGCAAATTGCCCTACTACTAAATCTATATTTGCCAATCTATCTTATTCCGGAGTAGACCGCAGTTAATTTTTAATTATCTTTAATTTTTAAAATGATCCCTCTGCTGTAGCAACTGACACTGGAATTGTTAAAAATCCGTAGAGAAATATAGATACATATTGACTTTATTTATAGGAACTAAGAAACGACTTTCATCTTAAATTAAAGTTTAAGCTTTGATCTTCGTACGTACGTATAATAAGTAATACATTTGATGATAAAGTTGCATTGTAAAATTGAAGAATGTCATTGCTTAATTATAGCAAAAATCGAAAATATTTATTAAAATTTAAAAAATCATATCTACTTTATTTATGGGAACTAAGAAACGATTTTTATCTTAAATTAAAGTTTAAGCTTTGGTCTTCATCTCTATGTATAATAAGTAATACATTTGATGATAAAGTTTCATTGTAAAATCAAAAAATGTCATTGCTTAATTATAGCAAAAATCGAATGTATTTATTAAAAAATCGTATCTACTTTATTTATAGGAACTAAGAAGCGACTTTTATCTTGAATTAAAGCTTAAACTTTGATCTTCATGTCTATGTATAATAAGTAACACATTTGATGATAAAGTTTCATTGTAAAATCAAAAAATGTCATTGCTTAATTATAGCAAAAATCGAATGTATTTATTAAAAAATCGTATCTACTTTATTTATAGGAACTAAGAAACGATTTTTATCTTAAATTAAAGTTTAAGCTTTGGTCTTCATACCTATGTATAATAAGTAACACATTTGATGATAAAGTTTCATTGTAAAATCGAAAAATGTCATTGCTTAATTATAGCAAAAATCGAAAATATTTATTAAAATTAAAAAAAACATATCTACTTTATTTATAGGAATTAAGAAACGACCTTTATCTTAAATTAAAGTTTAAGCTTTGGTCTTCATACCTATGTATAATAAGTAATACATTTGATGATAACGTTTCGTTGTAAAGTCGAAAATTTTCATTGATTAATTATAGCAAGAATCGAAAATATTTATTAAAATTTAAAAAATCGTATCTACTTTATTTATAGGAACTACGAAGCGACTTTTATCTTGAATTAAAGCTTAAACTTTGATCTTCATGTCTATGTATAATAAGTAACACATTTGATGATAAAGTTTCGTTGTGAAATCGAAAAATGTCATTGCTTAATTATAGCAAAAATCGAAAATATTTAATAAAATTTAAAAAATCATATCTACTTTATTTACAGGAACTAAGAAACGACTTTTATCTTGAATTAAAGCTTAAACTTTGATCTTCATGTCTATGTATAATAAGTAACACATTTGATGATAAAGTTTCGTTGTGAAATCGAAAAATGTCATTGCTTAATTATAGCAAAAATCGAAAATATTTAATAAAATTTAAAAAATCATATCGACTTTATTTATAGGAACTAAGAAACGACTTTTATCTTGAATTAAAGCTTAAACTTTGATCTTCATGTCTATGTATAATAAGTAATACATTTGATGATAAAGTTTCTTTGTAAAATCGAAAAATGTCAGTGCTTAATTATAGCAAAAAACGAAAATATTTGTTAAACTTTAGAAAATCATATCGACTTTATTTATAGGAATCAAGAAACGACTTTTATCTTGAATTAAAGCTTAAACTTTGATCTTCATGTCTATGTATAATAAGTAATACATTTGATGATAAAGTTTCTTTGTAAAATCGAAAAATGTCAGTGCTTAATTATAGCAAAAAACGAAAATATTTGTTAAACTTTAGAAAATCATATCGACTTTATTTATAGGAATCAAGAAACGACTTTTATCTTGAATTAAAGCTTAAACTTTGATCTTCATGTCTATGTATAATAAGTAATACATTTGATGATAAAGTTTCTTTGTAAAATCGAAAAATGTCAGTGCTTAATTATAGCAAAAAACGAAAATATTTGTTAAACTTTAGAAAATCATATCGACTTTATTTATAGGAATCAAGAAACGACTTTTATCTTGAATTAAAGCTTAAACTTTGATCTTCATGTCTATGTATAATAAGTAATACATTTGATGATAAAGTTTCTTTGTAAAATCGAAAAATGTCAATACTTATAGCAAAATTTTTTCAAAAAAACTTCCGAGAAATATTATTTTTATAGATAATTGAAATAAAACTGTAAAGTGGTATATACTATACGATAGTATATAGAGCATTTTAAAGAGGATAGTTTTAGCTTTGTAAACTCGTAAAATGTCAATACTTAATTATAGCAAAAATTTTTCAAAAAAACTCTTAAGAAAAATATTATTTTTATGGATAATTGAAATAAAACGGTAAAGTGGTATATATCATTTTAAAGAAGACAGTTTTACCTTTAATTTAGTACAAAAACCAAGTCTTAATCATTAAAAATAAATCTGGTATGATTGTTTAAAGTTTGACGTTTTACCTTTACAGATTATAATACAAACAAAATTGCAACTCTATCGACAAACATTATTTTCATGGCTAATTAAAATAAAGTGGTAAAGTGGTATACATCCTTTTAAAGAAGATAGTTTTAGCTTCAATTTAAAATAAAAATCATTTCTCTACAAACAGAACTCCACCATAGGCGATTTTTTAAAATATATAATTTAATTTTTAACTACACAAAATTAATTTTTTATCTAAAAGATTTGAATCATAAGGGACGTTATTAAAAGATAAAATGAGATATAAATCATCGAAGATGATCCCACATACAACGTAATATCCTTTTTATTTTCGTTCATCCAATTTAAATTCTTTTTCCCAGTTTCCTTTGCATTAGCAACAACTTGTTTTAAAGACGGTGTAAACGAAGCGGAATTGTGGGATTCAAATGAATTAAACTAAAAAGAAAGTTTTTATTAAGACAAAAAAGGAGAAATGAAATGAGATTACCAAATCAATGTGTTGTTGTGTAGTCATTCTAGCTGCGAGATTAGAAATAATTGTTGAAACACTTCCAATTCTACAATAAAATAATTATTAATAAATTAAAAAAATTATTTTATTAATAAATAAATTACTTTGTGTTGATTTGGGTGAAATTTTGGTCTAAGTATTCCAAAAAGAATTTAACACCATCGTCTCCATTATTATTCAAAATCGAATTAATAGCGGTTAATTTATCGTTTTGCGACAAAACGTTTTGATTAATCAAGTTGTTTAGCAACGTATTGAAACTTGAATTAGTCCCAACGCAACCCAATCCATTCGCTATCCTAATTTTTTCATTATATTCACTCGAATTTGCGTATTTTTCAAAAACCGTTTCAATTTTTTCCGGATTCTTTTTCAACCCATAACAATAAACGTAAGATTGCATATCCGGTTGAATCATTTCACCCCCATCAATCCATTTATCGAAATAAACTTTACTTTCATTCAAACATTTCTCAAATCCATATTTGCACAACGCCTCATTAACATTATTCTTAATCAATTTACTTAAATGTTCATCGTTTCGATTAATAACAAAACCATATTTGTTATAAATTGGTTCTAAACAATTAATAGCGTAACTTTTTATGTTTTTATGATGCGAATGCCCCGTTGATAAGCGATCTAAATAACTCAAAACTGTGTTGAAAGTTGAAATTGGAACATAGTGAGTTTCTTTTTTTATTTTTTCTCCTAATTCTAAAGGAATTGTGTAGTTTAAGTAACCTCCTCGTGCTAAATTAAATGAGTCGTCGATTAATTGGGCTCGATTTTCGACTCTGAGGTTAAAATTGTACATATTGTTATCCGTTATAAGCATCCTCCAATTTCTTTCGTCGTAATTCACTCGATAAAACCCTTTACGATAATCATTAAAAACAATCCAAGTATTATCGTTGAATTCGCTTAAATTAAGCGTTATTGATGCCGATCTTGAGTTTAACCAAATATAAGGAGAACTCCCTATACTCGATTGGGTGAAATAATCGAGTGGAATTTGCCATAAACTTTGTGCAGTTGAACTTGAGTTTTCTTTGTTAATAAGAAATCGTTCTTGTTCTAAAGTAATTGACACAACATTACCAACACCATATTTTCTTGTAACCGTTACAACCGGATACCCAGCTTGCGTCTCCCAACTTTTTAAAAATTCGCTTATATTAATATTATCTGTAGGTCTTTGTAGGCTTTCATAAAGTTTCGTTGGATTTACGTTGCCGAACATGTTCAAGTTAAGATAACTGCGGAGGTTGATCAAGAAAAATGCTGACCCTAAAAGGCGTTCCGTCATTCTAAGAACGGAAGCGGCTAAAAATAAATATAAAAGCATAAAATATAAAGTTATAAAGAATTAAATCACCTTTTTCGTAAACAATCGTGTCGTAAATTCCTGCGATTTCATCGGTGGTTTCGACTTCTCTCGTCATTGGTCTGCTGTTTTCGAGAGAATCGGCGTCTAAAGCGGGTTGAAATATTTCGGTGATGAATTGTAGGTCCAAATCCCAAGAGGTTTCAATCTAAATACAATTAATTAATAATAAATAATTAAGTAAGTTTTGAAAGTACAAATTTAAAAAGTCGTATCTTAAGAATGAATTGAGATAAAATGATGAAACGGCGATCATTTTAAAGCAAATTTAATAAAGATTAATTGTGCAAAAAATAATTTCTTAATTCCCATAAACATCGCTGTTATGATTTTTTAAATCCAACTCAATATATTTGATTGTTTAATTTATTAAGTAGAAATTTAAAAAGTCGTATCTTAAGAACGAATTGAGATAGAATGATGAAATGGCGATCATTTTATAGCAAATTTAATAAAGATTAATTGTGCAAAAAATAATTTCTTAATTCCCATAAACATCGCTGTTATGATTTTTTAAATCCAACTCAACATATTTGATTGGGACGTTATTAAAAGATAAAATGAGATATAAATCATCGAAGATGATCCCACATACAACGTAATATCCTTTTTATTTTCGTCCATCCAATTTAAATTCTTTTTCCCAGTTTCCTTTGCATTAGCAACAACTTGTTTTAAAGACGGTGTAAACGAAGCGGAATTGTGGGATTCAAATGAATTAAACTAAAAAGAAAGTTTTTATTAAGACAAAAAAGGAGAAATGAAATGAGATTACCAAATCAATGTGTTGTTGTGTAGTCATTCTAGCTGCGAGATTAGAAATAATTGTTGAAACACTTCCAATTCTACAACAAAATAATTATTAACAAATTAAAAAAGTTATCTTATGAATGAATAAATTACTTTGTGTTGATTTGGGTGAAATTTTGGTCTAAGTATTCCAAAAAGAATTTAACACCCTCCTCCCCATTATTATTCAAAATCGAATTAATAGCGGTTAATTTATCGTTTTGCGACAAAACGTTTTGATTAATCAAGTTGTTTAGTAACGTATTGAAACTTGAATTAGTCCCAACGCAACCCAATCCATTCGCAATTCTAATTTTTTCATTATATTCACTCGAATTTGCGTATTTTTCAAAAACGGTTTCAATTTTTTCCGGATTCTTTTTCAACCCATAACAATAAACGTAAGATTGCATATCCGGTTGAATCATTTCACCCCCATCAATCCATTTATCGAAATAAACTTTACTTTCATTCAAACATTTCTCAAATCCATATTTGCACAACGCCTCATTAACATTATTCTTAATCAATTTACTTAAATGTTCATCATTTCGATTAATAACAAAACCATATTTGTTATAAATTGGTTCTAAACAATTAATAGCGTAACTTTTTATGTTTTTGTGGTGCGAATGCCCCGTTGATAAGCGATCTAAATAACTCAAAACTGTGTTGAAAGTTGAAATTGGAACATAATGAGTTTCTTTTTTTATTTTTTCTCCTAATTCTAAAGGAATTGTGTAGTTTAAGTAACCCCCTCGGGCTAAGTTAAATGAATCGTCGATTAATTGGGCTCGCTCTGCCACTTTGTTTCTAAAAGAAAATAAATTGTCGTAATCCTTAATTATCATCCTCCAATTTGTTTCGTCATAATTCACTCGATAAAACCCTCTCCGATTATTATTAAAAATAATCCAACTATTATCGTTTAATACAGTTAAACTTATCGTTATTGATGTCGATCTTGAGTTTAACCAAATATAAGGAGAACTCCCTGTACTCAATGGGGTGAAATAATCGAGTGNAAAAAAATATTGAAGAAGAAATTGTCAAATTTATAAAACAAAAAAATATGATATTTTCAAAAAATCATATCGGCTGTATTTTTAACGATAATGATATCATATATTTGTTAAATTGAAGCATAAAGATTCTAGTTTATGATATGATATAAAACCTGTAAGATAATATTATTGAAATTTTCAGGAAACCAATGTTAAAGAAGAAATTGACGAATTTATAAATGGAAAATAACGATATTTTCAGAAAACTAGATCCACTACATTTTTAAGAGTCAAGCTATGATATGTATGTTAACTTGATGCTTATAGGTTCTAGTTAATAATATAATACAAAAATTATAAGATAATATAATTGAAATTCCCGGGAAAAAAATATTGAAGAAGAAATTGTCAAATTTATAAAACAAAAAATTATGCTATTTTTAAAAAATCATATCGGCTGTATTTTTAACGATAATGATATCATATATTTGTTAAATTGAAGCATAAAGATTCTAGTTTATGATATGATACAAAAACTGTAAGATAATATTATTGAAATTTTCAGGAAAACAATGTTAAAGAAGAAATTGACGAATTTATAAATGAGAATAACGACATTTTCAAAAAATCATATCGACTACATTTTTAAGAGTCAAGCTATGATATGTATGTTAAATTGATGCTTATAGTTTCTAGTTTATGATATTAAACAAAAATTACAATACAATATTATTGAAAATCCCAGGAAAAAAATATTGAAGAAGAAATTGTTAAATTTATAAAACAAAAAAATATGATATTTTCAAAAAATCATATCGGCTGTATTTTTAACGATAATGATATCATATATTTGTTAAATTGAAGCATAAAGATTCTAGTTTATGATATGATACAAAAACTGTAAGATAATATTATTGAAATTATTGAAACAATGTTAAAGAAGAAATTGACGAATTTATAAATGGAAAATAACAAAATTTTCAAAAAATTAAATCCATTACATTTTTAAGAGTCAAGATATGATATGCGTGTTAAATTGAAGCTTATAGTTTCTAGTTTACGATATGATACAAAAATTATAAGATAACATGATTGAAATTCCCAGGAAAAAACTATTGAAGAAGAAATTGTCAAATTTATAGAAAAAAAATATGATATTTTCAAAAAATCATATCGGCTGTACTTTCAAGGATAATGATATCATATATTTGTTAAATTGAAATATGATATAAAAACTGTAAGATAATATTATTAAAATTTCCAGGAAAACAATGTTAAAGAAGAAATTGTCGAATTTATAAATGGAAATAACGAAATTTTCAAAAAATTAGATCGACTACATTTTTAAGAGTCAAGATATGATATGTATGTTAAATTGAAGCTTATAGTTTCTAGTTTATGATATGATACAAAAATTATCAGGAAAAAATATTGAAGAAGAAATTGTCAAATTTATAAAAGAAAAAAATATAATATTTTCAAAAAATCATATCGGCTGTATTTTTAAGGATAATGATATCATATATTTCTTAACTTGAAGCTTAAAGATTCTAGTTTATGATATGATACAAAAGCTGTAAGATAATATTATTGAAATTTTCAGGAAAAGAATGTTAAAGAAGAAATTGTCGAATTTATAAATGGAAAATAACGAAATTTTCAAAAAATTAGATCGACATTTTTAAGAGTCAAGATTATCAGGAAAAAATATTGAAGAAGAAATTGTCAAATTTATAAAAGAAAAAAATATAATAGAAAAGTAACGAAATTTTCAAAAATCATATTGTCTATATTTTTAAGGATCAAGATATGATATGTATGTTAAATTGAAGCTCATAGGTTCTAGTTTATGATATAATACAAAAATTATATAATAATATATTTGAAATTCCCAGGAAACAAATATTGAAGAAGAAATGGTCAAAATTATAAAACAAAAAAAAATGATATTTTCAAAAAATCATATAGGCTGTATATTTAACGATAATGATATCAAATATTTGTTAAGTTGAAGCATAGAGATTCTAGTTTATGATATGATACAAAAACTGTAAGATAATATTATTGAAATTTTCAGGAAAACGTTGTTAAAGAAGAAATTGTCGAATTTATAAATGGAAAATAACGAAATTTTCAAAAAATTAGATCCATTACATTTTTAAGAGTCAAGATATGATATGCATGTTAAATTGAAGCTTATAGTTTCTAGTTTATGATATGATACAAAAATTATAAGATAACATGATTGAAAATCCCAGGAAAAAACTATTGAAGAAGAAATTGTCAAATTTATAAAACAAAAAAATATGATATTTTCAAAAAATCATATCGGCTGTATTTTTAACGATAATGATATCACATAGTTGTTATATTGAAGCATAAAGATTCTAGTTAATGATATGATATAAAAACTGTAAGATAATATTATTGAAATTTCCAGGAAAACGTTGTTAAAGAAGAAATTGTCGAATTTATAAATGGAAAATAACGAAATTTCAAAGCATCATATCGACTACATTTTTAAGAATCAAGATATGATATGTATGTTAAATTGATCCTTATAGGTTCTAGTTTATGATATTAAACAAAAATTATAAGGTAATATAATTGAAAATCTCAGGAAAAAAATGTTGAAGAAGAAATTGTCAAATTTATAAAACAAAGAAATATAATATTTTCAAAGAATCATATCGGCTGCATTTTTAAGGATAATGATATCATATATTTGTTAAATTGAAGCATAAAGATTCTAGTTTATGATATGATATAAAATCTGTAAGATAATATTATTGAAATTTCCAGGAAAACGTTGTTAAAGAAGAAATTGTCGAATTTATAAATGGAAAATAACGAAATTTTAAAAAAATTAGATCCATTACATTTTTAAGAATCAAGATATGACATATATGTTAAATTGAAGCTTATAGTTGCTAGTTTATGATATGATACAAAAATTATAAGATAATATAATTGAAATTCCCAGGAAAAAGATATTGAAGAAGAAATTATCAAATTTATAAAACAAAAAAATATGATATTTTCAAAAAATCATATCGGCTGTATTTTTAAGGATAATGATATCATATATTTGTTAAATTGAAGCATAAAGATTCTAGTTTATAATATGATATAAAAACTGTAAGATAATATTATTGAAATTTTCAGGAAAACAATGTTAAAGAAGAAATTGTCGAATTTATAAATGGAAAATAACGAAATTTTCAAAAAATTAGATCGACATTTTTAAGAGTCAAGATATGATATGTATGCTAAATTGAAGCTTATAGTTTCTAGTTTATGATATGATACAGAAATTATAAGATAATATAATTGAAATTCCCAGGAAAAAATATTG